ATATATATAAATAAATAAAAGTGTTGCTTTTATTTTAAAATTAGCATGAACTTTTCGGTCAGGTTAATAGTACTACCTACATACATATATAATATATAAAGTAAACTTGGTTGTCTCTCTCTCTCTCTCTCTATCTATCTCTCTCTGTCGCATCGGCATTAATGGCGCACAGGTGCACGGCGCACTCTGACGGTGCGCCGTGGTACGAGAACGGCGCATCAATGGGCAGTCAGAGGGTAAGATGGCGGATCGTGATTCGGAGGTGCAGGAGGAGGAAGAAGAAGTGCGACAGCGGCAGAAGCAGGAGCTGCGTCAAACAAGATCTGAGGTGAAGGAGGACGGTATTCGCGGAATGAACGCGAGCGTCCATCCTATAAACGATACGACGAGTGTGATGACCACGACGATAATGGCGTCGACAACGAGTACGAACACGGCGATGGCAACAACGACTACAACAACTACGACAACGGTGAATACGGTGATCAACAATGGTCGAGTGCCGCAACATAATCTTGTCAATCAACAACAACAACAACAACAACAACAAATGAATAATCCAAATGTTGGACAAGGACCTAGATGCGTTACCATCTACAAAACGGAGACTGGTTTTGGGTTCAATGTTCGAGGTCAGGTCAGCGAGGGTGGACAATTGAGAAGTATCAACGGTGAACTTTATGCACCCTTGCAACACGTCAGTGCTGTTTTACCTCGAGGAGCTGCCGAAAAGGCCGGTGTTCGCAAGGGTGATCGAATACTCGAAGTGTGAGTACTCATTTCTCATTCTTATTATTTCATTTAATTCTCTCGTCTCTCTTCTCTCTCTCTCTTTCTCTCTTTCTTTACATTTATTTAAAAAGAAATCTAATATTTCACCGTACATTAAAATCTCATTAAAAATTAAAGATAACGATTATGTTTTAATTTCTATTGGTACTTACTTATACATTTCTTAGAAGATTTTACGAAAGAATCTTAAAGTACGATCGAACGATGGGCTTGTTTATACCTTTCTCTCTCTTTCTCTCGACGTTTGTTCTCGTTTGCGGAACTTAACGATCGGCCGACGACGAACGACGCGAAACTTTGGCCCAAAATGGCCCATTGCGAAAAAATAAGAGTGAAAGAGAGAAAAAAGAGACACAGGTAGACAGAGAGAGAAAGAGAGAGAGATAGGGGGGACAGAAAACTTTGATTCTTTGTGAAACAAGAAGTTTCTTCGAAAGAGAGAGAGAGAGAGAGAGAGAGAGAGAGAGAGAGAGAGAGAGAGTAGTGATCGAAAACGGGTTGAAGGAGTCGTCCCTGGTACTTTCAAGCCGGTGTTCAATCGTTCTTCGATGTCGCTCTCGGAAATTGATCTTTCTTTGTCGCGTTATATTCTCTCCTATCCCTTTCTCTCTTTATCTTTCTCATAGAACTTTCTTCGTCTCTTTGAAGTATTTTTTCTTTTTCTTTTTCGTCTTCGTCTCTCTCGTTCGCAGTGAAATAAGAATTTATGGATGATTCGTTTTAATTTGACGAAGTAAAAAAAAAAAAGAAAAGAAAAAAAAAGAAAAAGATTTCATGACATCAAAGGGAGACAATTCTTCTTATCAATTGATATTAGTTTTCCTGACTTGGCTGGAAGCCAAGAAAGTGACCATGAAGTTTTTTCGGCGTTTATTTAGACTGCCGTTTCGTTCTTGCTTATAATGGCATTGTGTTATTATATAATGTCTAAATGTTATTAGATGCGTTATATTATATAATCGTTCATAAGGCATAAGAAGAAAAAAAAGGGGGCGAAATCATTATATAAAGTTAGTAATATATTTTTATTCGTTGTTTTTCTATCAAAAAATTATTAAATATATATATATATATATTTGAAAAGATAATAATGTGTCAAATGATTAAATTGGTATCGATAAAAATGGCGACCATTCGAACGCGATTTGCCGCCATAAATAAATAGGCGCCAAAAATTGAACGATCCGTTTGGTGATATTTTCGTTTTCTTTTCTTTTGTATATTCTTTTATTTTATTTTATTTTATTTTCAAAGCATACAACCGATATTTATTCCACGTTGGTTCATTTTTGTGTTTCATTGACAAATTTTCTAACAAACGTGCCTGTAACCGAGTGTAAACTGAGAGTTTCCTCCCACCGTTACGAGTTAAGCTGTATCAATTTTGTATCGAATATCGTTGACGAACTGCCCATGATAGGCGGAACTTTATCAGCCTTACGTTTCTATTCTTGTTTAATTTTTTACAATTAATAATTTGTTTCCTTTTTTTTTTCTGCACGAAAACATTTTATTTTTTTCTTTTCCATCGATGATATCTATAAAAATGAAGACTTTCTATCATTCGAAGATTCAGAATTTATTAGCTTTTAATTTTTGGTTGAAATTCAAATGTATTCGTTACAAAATCTATAATTTAAACAAATTAATTCATCTTGTATAATGGTAACAATCTATAATACATATTCTCAAATACCTTATATTTGATTCTTTTCTATTAATAAAATGATATATAAATATGTTAACATTTTACATTCTAAATTTTATAAAAACATTCTAACAAGATTGTATTATTAAGTGATAATATTTGATATTTAACATGCACACACATACACATACATGTTCCCGACGAAATCATTTCGAAATCTAATCTCTGGTGAAAGAAAAAACAATTAAATAATACTTGATACTTTGGCCGATCAACGTTTTCATTAAATGTATACAAATAATTTGACCTCTTTTATGAAAATGTTTTTATTGCCGATAACTGGAAGAAATGACTAATGAAAGGAGACCAACTGTTTACAAAATGTTTAGTATCATTCGAACGACGATAAAAACAACACCTGTTGCGATTCTTCGACAATTAGGCAAGACAATTTTACCAAGTTTTTTTTATACTAATCTTATAAAAGTAAGTACATACGTTATATCCTAATTAAATATATTACACGTATACATAATTATCTCATATTAATAATATAATTTATGCATATTCAAATAAACGAAATATTTTTAATATATTGTTTCAAATTGAATAATAAACAAAATTTATCAGATAATTTCACATATAATAATTCCATCTATATAAATATAATGAATCATAATGTATATAATTAATCGTTGAAATTGATAATTTAGATTATTCACATCAAAAATAATTAAATAAAATATGAATTACACGAGTAACGAATAGTTAATGTATGAGATATATCAATTTGATTCGTCTTTAATGTATACAACTTTTTTTTTACAACAATGCTCGTAAGTTATTCGTTCTCATTTCTTCCTGTAATTTGAAAATCAATATTCTGTTAGTAGAGTCGTGCTGTTCTATCGGATCTAATTTAGATCGGTACTATTAACTATAAAGCTTAACTACATGCTACCATATATGAAAGTTTTCTCTTATGCTGTACGACCTCGAACAAATAGCATCAAAAAGAACGCGTTAAAAAAAAAAAAAAATCTACGTATCGACTAATCGATCCTAACGACACGAACAATCAAAGGGAATTTTACGATCCGTTCTATGCAGGCGACGAGGGGTTAACAGACTTCATCATCCTGTTCGTTGATCTTATCTCTCTCTCTCTCTTTCTCTCTCATCTCTCTTGTCGTCGTTTCAACGACTTTTATCCCCTTTAATCTTTTTCGTTCGTCCTCGAGTTTGTATTCAACGGTTCTCACGATTTCTCACTTTGTTTGTGTATTAAAAAGTAACATTGTAAGTTTATTTGTTTTTTTCTATCGCAACAATTCATAAATATATACCACCCTGTATTCGTAATATTTTATTAGATTTTCATTGTATTATTAAAATGTTAAAAGAAAAAAATTGGTTCATGGTCGTACTTTCAAAAATTTCAAGGTCAAGTGTCCTTTTTCTTTATGACGATTCTTTATGATGCAAATTTGTCGTTAAAATTTAACAAGACAAACGTATATATAAAGTTTTTCATTTTGATATTAGATATAATTAACTCTAATCGTAGAGAATAGGAAAACAAATGTGTGATCAATTTTGCTGACTAACGGTTAGCGAAAAAAAATATTAGAAAATAAACGAATAGAAGAAGAAGAAAAAGAAAAAACCGATATAACACAAACACTTTGAAAGCTTCATTAAAATAATCTACCAATGATTCATTAATATTTAAATATATGTAATACAGAATGGGGGGGGGGGCGTTCCAAAAGTCTTCAAGATCTGGCAGGAAAAATGTTTTAAATGATTCTAAACAAATATCGATTACTCTTTTATGATTTACAATTATGTCAATAGTTTTACAAAATTTATTTGTAATTGTGGATAATAAGCAAAAAGAAAATTAGATTAAAAAGTTAAGATGATGATATATGGGTGGTGGATTTGTTTGAATAAAATTTAAGAATTTTTCACCACACTTACTTTTTTTCTTTTTTTTTTTTTTTGTGTACTCTATTATTTAAATAATTTAAACGGGGGAAACTTTAGAAGTATAATTATTGAAGGAAGTCTCGTCTAACATAAGATCGATCCAAGTCTCGTGTATATTATTCGATGTTGGACTCAGTCACGCGCTTAGTTACCGTTACCCCTCTTTAAATCCAGTTCAAGCTGTCGATAGGCTTCTATGTTTGCAACTTGTTAACTGGACAAATTTCGACGATAAATTTATCGTGACACGAAAGAAAATAAAGATTAAGAAAAAAAAAAAGAAAGAAAGAACAATTCCGAATTAATGACGCCTTTTTACGATTGAAATTGATCGATTAACGCAATTTGTCTATATAATGTTGATACGACGCCTAGCTTTTATAAACACGAATCGTAATTGATAAAAGTATTCCCACGTTAATAAAAAATTGAATTACTTATTTTTTTTTTTCTTTTCTTTTGCTTTCTTTTATAAATTCAACAAGGAACTTTGTATTTATACATTACGCACATGTAGAAATGTCATCGTACTATGATTTGTTTTTTTTTTGTACATTATTAATATAAAATAAATTTTATATTTTTAATCAAAATAAATATGTATATATATATGCGTGTACTACGTACGTTGATTTTTTTTTTCTTTAAAAATGCAACCGAAGTTTTGTTAAAGCTTATTTTTTTTTTGTTTTTTAAATTATTAATAAATTTCACGTAGAATTATTAAAGAATTCTTCTTTCAATTTATACAAAATTTCTTTTTGTTGTATTTGATACACGTATTTTTATAATATAAAATAAATATAATCCGTTAGTGAATGTTATTCACATTATAGACACTACTTTAACCGGTTACAAACATACTGTATATATATATGTATGTATATAATTACCACTTACATGCCAGATCATTGACGTGTCCATTCTCTTTCTTTAATCTTCATCTATCTTACATTCTTGCATTAAGATAAAAAATAATAATCGAAAGTAAGAAGTTTAAATAAAAATAAGATAAAAATAATAAAGTTTTTTCTAGAAAAAAAAAAAAAAACGTAGCTTTTTGTTGAATAACGTTTTCCTTTTTTTCATTTCTTTATTTGTCTATTCTATCCTATTATTTAAATCATTTTCATTCTTACGTAGTTTTGAAATCGAATCTATATGACGTGATGAGCGAACATTTAACCGCAAACTAAACGAGTACTCGTGGTATACCGTTACTTTTACACTAACTGAAATATAATTGTTTCTATCCTTGTGGTCTATATGCTCTGACGTGATCCTTTCTTTCGTATTTTATTAATAGCAATCGATATTTATTATTAATAGCGATCGAACGTGCTCGATCAAGCACCATATGTGTCTGTGTGCGTGTGTTGTGTATCATCATCTTATGTCTTCTTAATTAGCCGATTTTTCGACGAACCGTCAACGTTGTAAAAATATAATCAAAGTCATTTTATCCATGCGTAATATTTAAAGCAGATAATACGGCTAATTTATTTCACATAAGGCCCATATCTAATGTAATATATAAACGGAAATTAATAAAACAGATGATGATATGTTGATTAAATAATATTAGGGAAATATAAGATAAACGATATTTAAATACTTTGCAATTTTATGCTAATTTTTTACATTGATTTATCTGTATTTTTTTTTATGGGTTATTATTATATTATATTTTCTGTTTTTAAGTATATGTTATATATATAATCAGGTTTTTATTSCGCAACTTACAAAGTTTTTTACAATGTCTTAAGTATATGTTATATTTATATTAGTATATACAATTTTATTCATATATTAATATATTATAAATAAATATTCTATATAAGTACCATATTTCATTAACTAGTATAATAAATAAGTATGCTTCTACATTATAATGTAGTTTAATATAATTATATTATACTATAAGTAATACTAGTATCATTTCTACTATAATTACTAGTATTATTAATTATTATAATTTTTAAACTTTCACCCGTGTGTGTTATATAATTTTCTTATAAAGTGACTACAAAATTGGCTTGTAAAAAATAAAAAGAAAAAAAAATGCAAAACAAAACAAAACAAAATAATTATTAAATGAGACTATACATTATCTCATCTTCCAACATGAGATTAATTATCAGATGGTTTAAAGTACAACGATATTCGCATTTCCTAAACCTGTTATTATTTTACATTATACTTCGATCGATGATAATCCATTATTTTCCGACTTACTTACAATACAATATTATTTTCTTATCAACTTTCCTGTCATATAATTGTTTTTAAATATATATTCACATTAATTCGTTATCTCTCATTTATGTCGGACGAATTAGAAGTAAAACTATTACGAGAAGTTAAATCAGTGTGTTATTAATTATCAATTATTCGTACATATTGCTTGTTTTTTTTTTTTTTTTTCGTTCTTTTCGTAAAACAATTATGTGTATGAGTATTAAAGTATTTTATATCGCATTATATATCAGTAGGAACTCTTCAAAAGAGTTATCTTTTATGTTGGTGGGTGAACGATAATATATGAGGTCGACGTTTAAGCAATCATTTCAGAACATACGAAACGTTAACTTCGTGTAGTGCGTGTGTCTTATTAAGAAACATTTTAACTATGATCTAATTAATCGATCAAATTTATTAAATACGATAATTCGCTAAAATATTTCAATACTTTCTTCTTGTTCAATCCTTTTCATTGTGTAATACAATATATATGTATGTTTATCAAGAATTATAAATGAACTATTGCTATAAATAATATTCAAAATGATTGCTTCATAAACAATTGAAATATGCTACTATAAAGTTTGAATATTTTTTTGGGAATCATTGTACGTGTTAATTTTGTATAACGCCATGTTACTTGAAAATATAACATCTGTATTTTATTAATTTTAATTTATTTGATCGCATATACAAACATTCATTCTTATTTTTAATTCAAAGTGTTGGTATTAATATACTTTAATACTGAAGTATGTGATATCATAAACCATTTAAAAAATATCTGTTATTTTGGATTTTATAAAAATATATTTAAGAAAACAAAGTTACGTTATTACAAGTAGCTCAATATTTTTTAAAGCAAAGCATTGTACAAGCTGTATTATCAATCGGTGTGAGTTTTTGTAGGGCTGCATAAGTGACGTTGTATATTCTATACATATAATATATTATAGTATTAGTAATAATATAATATTAAATTATATTATATATATTTAATATAAAAATATATATATAAAATAGTTTTCAAATACGGAATAAAAATTGAGTTGCAGAGGATTAAAAAAGCAACGATTTTTTTATCTTTGTAATCACAAAAAATTGGTTTCCTTTTATTTTACATGTACTCAAAAAAGTATATACAACATACATATATATATATATCTCGAGTAATGAAAGAAAGTTGTCGTCAATCTAAGTGATAGTAGCAAGTATAATACAGGGTGGTCCACCAACAATTAGCACCTAAATATTTCCATTATTTGTTATAATATAATATAAGATCAATATTACAAGATAAAATAATAAATATAGTTTTCGAATTTCTATTATTATCGAGGCTTCAATTTACAGTAAATGTACGAAATTATGGCTGTTGACATTGATGCAATGCTACATTGAATCATACATCGTTGTACTCCGCTCATGATCCACTATCATGCTATAGAAAAATATACGAATCTATTTAAAAAAATTATGGTGACCATAAGAACTTCTGTGTACATTTCAAACCAGGCAAAAAATATTTATACTACCTTATGTACTACATTTCGTGACGTATAAATTTTGTATATAACATTTTTCTATATTATAACAAATAACAGAAATATTTAGATGCTAACAGTTGGTGTACCGCACTGTATAAAATAAGTTTGTTGTTTTATGAAGTTGCTCGCGTGAAAGAGAAAGAATGTTGAGAGTGTCGTGCCTCCGAAAGCAACCAATCGTGCTTGTCCTTTCACTATCGGAATTCAAAACTCGTTTATCGCAGGTATAAGCACGATCACTCGTGTGTCCTGTTGTGTCTTGTATTTCTTTAATTCTTTTCAACCCATGAATCGGAGGAGGAAACATTGCCAATAATCGTGTTTTGCTTCGAAAGTGCGTTTCTCAATAGTAAAGAGAAATTTTTTAAGATGTGGTTTTAAAAAAGAAAAGACAATATGTTCAGTGGGGAGGGTTCTCGAACTTGTTAAATAAATTGCACGTTTGAAAAGAAAAGAAAAGAAAAGAAAAAAGAAGTGAAGAAAAAAATAAAAATAATATAATGTTAACGTGTTACGTGACGGCTGTGCAGTGCGCCGAATGGTTGGAGATTCGTAAGAGACAACACGCGAACTTGTCTTATCCCGAAATCCAATTAAAAGACTTGCCCAAGGCCCCCCGGTAAGAAAAAGAAAAAAAAGAAGAAGGCCGTAGGAAAAGTTAGCAGCAAGGCTGCTAACGAACAGAAACTATCTCTTTCTCTCTTTTTCACTTTCTTCCTTTCTCATATCTTCTTTTTTGTTTTTTTTCTTTAGCAATAAGGTGAACGTTGAGGGTGCCACTCACAAGCAGGTCGTTGACTTGATCAAATCTGGCGGTGACGTACTGACGTTGACGGTGATATCCGTGACACCACAAGAAGCTGAAAGGCTGGAACCTTGCGAGGATCTCAGGTAAAAAAAATAGAATGGTCTTTGGTCGTCGTTTGTCCTTGAACAAAAGTTATTTCTATATGCAGAACCTTTCTTTATTTTTTTTGTTTCTAAAATTTATCTTTATTTTATATTTTCAGTTATCCACCGATAGATTACAGCGAGAAACGATCATTGCCCATTAGTGTTCCGGATTATCATGTACGGGAAAGGAAACACGAACGTTATGTTGTTTTCAACGTACACATGGCAGGAAGGCATCTGTGTTCTAGACGTTATCGCGAATTCGCTGCCCTTCACATGGCACTTAAGAAAGAATTTATTGGATTTAATTTTCCAAAGTTACCGGGAAAATGGCCTTTCCAGTAAGTTCATTTGTTTCACAAAATATTGCTGCTATCAGTTATATGTTCTCATAATTATGGGACTGGTCTAATAAGTCAATATATTTCTTGTTTCGAGAATATTTAAAAATTACATTTGAACGCTAAATTAATTCCATATAACGTTGAAGTAACAATCATTATCTGATGGTTCATTTTTGACAATACTTGTACAAATTTCATTGAATTAATTTAGTTTAAAATAATGTGGTGTGAACTCATTTTATTTTCTTTTTTAATTTTTACTTAGACCACTTTCATAATTATAGGCACATATTTTTGTTTACCCGTATTAATATTATTACATATATACATATAACAGATTGACGGAACAACAATTGGATGCCAGAAGACGAGGTTTGGAACAATACCTTGAAAAAGTTTGTGCCGTACGAGTAATTGCCGAGAGCGATGCTATGCAAGAATTTCTAACCGATAGGTTGGACGAGGACGGTGACCAAGGTCCAGCGGTTGACCTAAAGGTTCTCTTACCTGATCGCGAGGTAGTTACCGTGACGGTCGCGAAAGCAGCTTTGGTCAAGGACGTCTACGATGCGGTCTGTAGTAGAGTCGGTCTTGATTCGGAAACCGCCAAGTATTTTTACCTCTTTGAGATAGTTGAGTACAATTTCGAGAGGAAACTTCAACCTCACGAGCATCCGCACACACTTTACATTCAGAATTACTCTACGGCGAGTGCGACGTGCCTAGCGATAAGAAGGTGGTTGTTCAATGTAAATAGGTCTCTTAGCGAGCAGGCCCTGACGTGGATATTTTGGCAGACTGTTGACGAGGTCAATAGGGGCCACATTAGCGCTGGCGAACGATTGTATCAGTTGAAGGCCCTTCAAGATGCATCTAGAAAGCACGAGGTAATAAACTGGTGGTGGTCTATCGATTAATAATTAATCATGACGATGAATATCGGGTTAAACTTTTACACGAATATTATTTGACCTATATTTAATATACTTAATATTTTGTTCTTGAACACGTTAAGCATTGTGTCAGTTAGCGATGACTGACGATACATTTTTTGTTCAGACCGCGTCCGTCACAGCTATGGTTGGCTGATGATTTAAAAGTTAATAAATTATTTTCTTATGGTAAAAATATATTTGTTATATTTAATATCAGATAACGACATACTGCGACGCGTATAAAATAGGCTCTATGCTTTAACGTTTTAATATACATGTATATATATATATATATGTTTTATATAATATAATATTATATAATTTTGTATGTATTTTTTTTGTAGTATTTGAAATTGGCAAAGGAATTGAACGGATATGGCGATATAGTTTTTCCACATTGTACTTGCGACTCGAGGAAGGAAGGACACGTTATTGCAGCTGTTGGCGTTTTAGCATTTAAGTTACATGCAGCGAAAGAGGATGGTACTTTAGAATCTCAAGTAGTCGAATTTCAATGGAACACCATAACAAGATGGGAGGTAGACGAGGAAGGCATGGCCTTTTGCTTTCAATATACTCGACAAGATAATAGGCCACCGCGTTGGTTGAAAGTTTTCACACCTTACGTAAGTTGTTTCTTTTAGTTTTAACTGAACTATTCACGGAAGTATGATTCGACAGAAAGTTTTCAACGTTTATTCTCTTTATCGTGATTTAATTATTCTGATATTTCCTCTTTCACAGTATACCTTCCTGTCTGACTGTTTCGATCGAATAGCAGAAGAGGCAAAGTGGGACGATCCCAGAGAATGACGCAGTATTCGCCGTTAATACGTTTTTTTATTCTTTCTTCTTTAATTTTATTTTCTTTTTTCTTTTTTTCTTTTTTTCTTTTTCTAATTTTTATTTTATCCCTAATTTACCCGTTGATTATCAATAACGACGATCGAACTCGCATTGGTGATTGTAGTCGATTGTTTCATAGGATTATTGTTATAAAATCTCAATCACAGTGCGATTGAACGATTCGTATTGTTTATCATATCAACAATGACTCGTTGATTTTACAAAAAAATATATATATTCAATCTTTATTAATACACGAATCTTATAAAAGCACACGGCAGAGCTATTACATATATTTTCAATTATGATAATTAGCGTGGTTACGCGTTCCAATAGTTACGACACCTTTTTCTTTTGATTTGTCTTCTTGTTATATTGTATGATGAAACAAATTGACAGAGAATCGTATTATATCAGAGAATTAATGTTTCCTTTTTTTCTCCTCTTATGTTTCTTGTGTTATTTTTTTTTATTTTAATTTTTTTTTGTTTTATATTATTATATAAGATTTATTAATCTTATCATACTTTATAACCAATACTGTCGCGTCAACAATGGAATACTAGAGAATTATAAAAAGAAAGAAAAAAACAAAAAAACGACGTCTCAAGTAAGAAATGAAAATTATGAGAGATCGTAAATTAATGCCTAGTGTCGATATATATGATTTGGCCTATAAGTTATATTTCCTAGAACGTGTAATTCGATTTCTCGTTTTAGAAATAATCGAATTACTAATTGTTCCTTTTTATTAGCCTAATATACATCAATATACATATACATATACATACATATATATATACATACATACATACATACATACATACTATTCTCTCTTTAAATTTCTTTTACGAAAGCATACCACATTTTTTATTGACTTAGTAAACAAAAGTATTATCGTGCTTCGTTCGAGCCCAGATCACCTTCCTTGTAATTAATTTTCAAAAATTTCAATGTGCTTTTATTCATATCGTTTTCATCTATTGAAAGCTTATTGAAATTTTTGAGATATTATTCCATACGTGAAGTTTCATTAAAGATCGTAAATGTCGAAAAATTTTTAATCATTATATCGACATTTTCGAAGTTTGAATTATGTAGAATTCCATTACACTCATTCGCGATCATCTTGTGAAATACATTGAAAAATAAAATGAAATTTAATCTAATATAATGAAATGAAATATTTTCATCGCATTATGTTTTAAACAAAACAAAAATTTCAAAATATCAACAATTTAAAATTATTGTTGCAATCTATAGATGCCTACTTATTTTAATGAATTAATAATTCATATATAATATTTCTACGCATTTAATGTAAAGATCTGAATTATTGTAAATGTTACGTTGATTAATTAATTGAAAACAAAAAAAAAGAATAGAAAGGAAAAAGAGAGTAATGGAGCACGCCTGACACAAAAAAGGTACATATTTTCCCCAGTACTTCGGTGATTAATAATACTCATTAATTAGTAATATTGTTAAGAAGAGTTGCTAAATAATAATAATATTAATAATAATTATAATTATCATAATAATAATAGTAATAAGGATAATATTAAATATTAATAATGATGATGAGATGATGATGATAATAATAAGAGAAGTAAGAATTAAACATATATATATATATAATAATAAAATACGAAAAATATATAATACATACATATGTGTATATATATTTAATAATGAGGACTATTATTCTCGATGAAAAGACAACTTTTAGAAGCACTTTCGTCATATTTGTCATGACATACAAACGATGAACTATTTGAAACGAATTTTTGCTTTCTTTTCTTTTTTTTTTTTTTTTTTTAATTAATATCCATTGATAACTAGCTCGTTCGTGTTGTACAGTTTCATACATTGTTGTTTCTCATTAATGTTTTATTATATCGTTTCAAATATTTCTCATTTGAGTATAGGTCTTGACTATAATAAATGTAAAATAAAGAAGTGAACACGTGTTATATATAAATATATACATAAACACATTATACATGAATGCATACATAATAAAAACATCCACATAGACATATTATACACATAAATAATAGTCGTTAATGTTTCTAAACTTTATGCAGAATGCAACGCGTGAATGAGATGAACAAAGAAATGTGGGGAAACGAGCGATTATGTGAAATTTGATTTAGAGTTATACATAAACGTTTTTGAGAATATAGGAACAATAATGTTAATAGTTTGTAGGTAGATAAATATATCAATGTAAATGAAAAGAAAACAAAAAAACAAAAAAATAAGGAGAGCGCAGAAAATATACGAATAATTATAGTTATAGTTATATCGGTTAATGCATTATGTGATGATGATGATGATGATGATGATGGTAATGATATATATACAGTATATCCGGTTTTTGTAAGTATATATACACGAGATTATTTGATACGAACCTTTATATGTAACTATGTCATATATACAGGGTGTTCCAGTAGTCGTTTTACCGAACAGAAAAATCATAGAATATTTTTTTTTCCTGAGGTATTAAGAGTGATAGCAATGTGAACCCATACCTTTGAAACAATACTACAATTGGAGTTTCATGTTTTTAAATGGTAATAAAATTTTATTAATGATTGCAATTTTATTAATGAATCAAATATTTTGATTTGTTGTTTTATTTTTTTATTTTCTCGGTAAAACGACTGTTGAAACATTTTAAAAATATATCACATAATATGTTAAAGGAACAAGTACACACACACACAGACAGAGATATGTACAGAATATATATGTACGTACTTAAAACCGAATATACTTTATAAATACACACATACACGCGTGTGCACGGGTTATATGTATGTATCTGTTATTGGAAAAACGGGATAATAGGACAAAGAATAATTTTCAAAACTTCTATTGTAAAACTTATAAAAAATAATATGGTAAATTTATGTAAGAAAACAAAAAAAAGAAAAAGAAGAAAAAAGAGAGAAAGAGGAAAAGAAAGAAAAAGAAAAATCGGTGACACGATTGATCGTTCGACGTATATTGTTAAAAAAAAAAAAGAAAGATGGAAAAAGAGAAAAAAGATACCGAAAAGTCCTTCCGTATATTTATTACATTCCATTTTCTTAATTATTCATTTTATTATGTTTTTCTTTTTTTTTAATATCACTCATTAAATTTTTAACAACTATAATTATGTCGCTCGAATGAATTGTTTGATTAACAAACGCGTCCTTTATATTATTTATGATCATAATGAAGATGTTGTTTTCATAAACAACAACAATATTAAAAAAAAGAGATTAAGAGTGAGAGATTTATTGTTTGATTGATCTATATATATAAGCCGTTCCTTAGCCAATTTGATAAATCTCATGAAATAAATAGTCAAAAAAAAGATTGATAAAATGATGAAAATAAATTGTCGTATAATTTTATCGTTCAAAAGCCATACGAAATTTAGTTATTTAACGATGTCAAGCTGTTATTATTATTCCTTTTAATTATGGCGAAATTAATCATGGCAATCTTTGCCAGCATCGTATAAAAAACAAAACCCTTGTACGTATATCGAAAGAAACGCCTATCTAAACGAATAATTACATTTTTCTATTATTTATATGCAAAAAAAAAAAGAACATTAATTTATAAACAATACTAATAATTGAGAAAAATTGTCAAATGTAATCGAGTCGAAAGCCATTTTAATGGCGTTCCAGTAATTTTATTGGGGATTCAAGAAATTAATTTTAATTGGTGAAAAGTTAACAAGCATTCAATTAAATGATTTGTTATTAAAATTTCCAAAATATATATTCAAAAGTTGAGTTAATAATCGTATTGGTATCTGTTAACGGTATTTGTATATTGGTATTTTAATCTCTGTTGCCACAGTTTAACTGGAAATAATTCTAAATGAGTTTATCAACAAACTGTTTTTCATAAAGCCGTCTGATAAATAATTAGCAGGAAGCCTAGAAAAGCGAACGAACTGTAAGACTAATTAATTACATGAATTCGTCCAAACGAGAGCAGCCAAGTTATTAAGTGTGTGATTCTCTTTGATGGGAATTTAAATAGAGATGGAAATGAAAAGAATCGTTTTATGGATATTAACTAAAATTAGTTAATAACCGTATTTGTAAATATATGATATGTAAAGAGAATATAATAATATTATATAAGAGATAGAAAAAGAGATAATACGTGTGTGTCTCTCTGAGAATAAGATTTTTTTTCTTTCGTTAGCCTGACGTTCACATTGTTATTTAATAATTACATATTGTATTTTACCATATTACATCGATAACGCTTAAATCAGATTCGCTTCAATAAATTTATTGAAGAAAATTAACAAAAAACAGAAATACGAAAGTGAAACGAATTGCAGAATTTATTTGAGAGGATTGAAAAAAAAACAAACAACTGGACAACTATATTAGATAGCATAATAATTGAAATAATAATAATGATAATAATAATAATAATAATCCTAATATTAATAATAATAATAATAATAATAGTAAAATAAAGTAAAATAATAATAATAATAATAATAATAATAATTTTCATGATCGTTATACACAGTGCAGTCATATCATTACGGTTAATTGTTTAAACGTTCATTAACAAATTACAATTAACTGAAAATTAATGATGATAAGAATATCATTTGAGTTTATCGAAAGATTATTATGAATTTGTTTTCGTTCGAATAGAGGAATGAAAAAAAGAAAAAAGAATCTGATATTTCGTGTGTGTGTAGTTAAGGAAATAGTTATTTATGTGTGTGCGTCTAGACCGGAAAGCGATATTTTGCTGTACGAGATGTGAATACGTTAAGATTTAAAAAAAAAGAAAAAAGGTGAGTACAGCACTAATATATATCACTTTCTGCTCGAGATACACATTATTTTTTTGTGCGATCTATGTTATATATAAAAATAAAAATGTAAAAATTGATTGTTCATATTTTATAATCCGCAAAATTTATTTAGTCGTGAATGTTGTATGAAAAAAAGAAAAAATAATAACTTCTTTTTAGTTAACTTTCTGACAGTTAAAATGTTACAAAAAAAAAAGAATACAAAATTACTTTTCTCATTGAAGAGAGAGAGAGAGATCGCACGAAAAATTAATATATTATTTTTCCCTTCAAAAAAAATATTTTCTCCCTTTTCTCTTATATATTTTTATTTTACTTTAAATAAAAACGAAACAAGTATACGCAAACCAAAAAAAATGCATCGATGTTCGTATTTCATTGTTTTTTCTTCCTTTTTTTTTTTCGTTATTTTTTCTAAAGAAATATAATCCTAATTTCCAGATCCAAATGCACAGGACACTTGCATTTTCTTGATAAGAAGGCGGATGTAAATCAAATGGTTCTTTTCGTAACGATCTTGTATAATCGTGATTACTTTAATTTGAGGAAAACTCGTGAGTACATATCATATACACGCATATACAGATACCCGAAAGCACACACACTAGTGTTTTACACTTTTATGGGAAAATCATTGATGAATGAAAAAAAAAAAGATTGAAAAATTTCTTAGATCATTATTCTGATTAAATGAAAAATAAAAATGGAAATTACGTAAAATAGGAAGCAACGTTTCAAATTTTTATTTCCATATCACATATATATTTTTCTGATAAAATAAATAATAATCATAAATAGAAGATGGAGAATAATAAAAAGGAATAGTGTTTTTATTCAACACAAAAAACACAAATATTTAAAATAATCTTTACTTCTTTTTTTTAGAACTATGTATATATATATATAAATACATAAACAATCGTATTAATATATATATATGAGTTTTTTCTCATTCGTTTCTTTCAAAGATCTCGCAAGTTCACTTGGTGGGAGCAACATTATCTTTGAGAATATGTAAGAGTTTTACACATATTTTAAACATATATATATACACATCTAAATACATACACAATCAAAGAAATGGACAACTTATGAAGTATGAAACGAAACAAAGCCAATCTCTGAAAATATGTGTGTATATACGTATATATATAT